CACACACACAGACACTCACACACACAAGACACACTCACACACACACACCACACCACACTCACTCACTCACACACACACACTCACACTCACTCACTCCAGGGCCAGTGTTCCCAGAAGCCAGTTAACCCAGCAGCATGTCTTCAGCCTGTGGGAGGAAACTGCAGCACCTGCAGGAACCCCACACCCACACAGGGACAGCACGCAGACTCCACACAGACAGAGCCCCAGGGCTGGGACTGACCCCAGAGCTGCCTCAGCACAATGCAGACACCAGCTGTGCTGATACAGCGGTGTCGACCCCCCAGGGGCCCACGCTGGACCCCAGTGTTATAGGGCACCCCCTCCCCCTGTCCCTGGTGAGGCTGAGCTCCAGACCCCCAGCCCCTCGCTGACCCCCATCCGCCTGGGGTCAGAGGTCAGAGCCGGCGCTGTGAGCTGCCCGTGTCACCTGGCCCTCACTGCTGTCCGCTGCTGTCGTGGGCGCAGGCCGGCTGTAATCGGATCCGGGATTAGGGAATCTTTCTGGGGTTGAATATAGATCCCTAATCCCGCTGAGTGCAGGGAAATCTCTCGGACTGAGCTGGGGGGGCCGGTGGGGAAGAGGGGTGGGGTAGCGAGAGAGGGCGCGGGCGGGGTCGAGGGGTGTGTCACTCTGAGGGGTCGTGGGAGGCCCCCAGTGATGAGTCTTACAGCTGCGCCCCACCGCCGTCAGGAGTCTCCCCCCGATCAGATCAGCAAGGGTAAGGCGCTCGCTCATTCACTCATTCACTCATTCACTCATTCATGCTTCCATTCAGTAAGGAGTGCATGAGTCTGTGTTATGTCACCCCAGATACGAGCACAGACTCACACACACTCACAACCTCACACACACGAACTCATTCACACACACTCACAACCTCACACACACTCACAGACTCACACTCACTCACAGGCTCAAACACACATTCTCAGACTCTCACACACTCACAACCTCACACACACACTCACAGCCTCACACACACACTCACAGCCTCACACACACACTCACAGACACACACTCACTCACAGACTCACACTCACTCACAGACTCACACACTCACTAACTCACTCACACTAACTCACTCACACTCACTCACTCACTCACACTCACAGACTCACACTCACTCACAGCCTCACACTCACTCACAGACTCACACACACACTAACTCACTCACACTCACTCACAGACTCACACACACACTAACTCACTCACACTAACTCACTCACACTCACTCACAGACTCACACACACACTCACTCACTCACACTAACTCACTCACACTCACTCACAGACTCACACTCACTCACAGACTCACACTAACTCACTCACACTCACAGACTCACACTCACTCACAGACTCACACTAACTCACACTCACTCACAGACTCACACTCACTCACAGACTCACACT